TGCCAGAAAAGAGAGAATAAATTCAGTAGATTCATCCTCAGGAATCTCAGGGGGAAAAAAGAGAACAGCGGAAATTAAATGAAGAAATAACAAAGTAATAACTTTCTTAAAATTTCTAGATCTAAGGGGCATGAATGTCCAAATTGAAAGGACTCAATCAGTGCTCAACAAAACCATTTAAAAAAAAAGCCAACCCTAAGAAAAATTATCATAAAAATCCCTAAAACAACAGTACTAAGAATAACATTCTAGACAATTCTAAAAAAGAAAAAATACATACCCACCTATAAAAAGACATACAATTATCATAATAGAAGCTAGAGGCAATTAATGAATTTCTTCAAAAGTTTGAGATAAAATGTTTTCCAACTCAAAATTTTATACCAAGACAAATTATCAGTTTTGTATAAAGGCAGAATAAAAACATTCTGAGAAGTGCATTTTCAGAAAAGATTACCTAAAACATCTTTTCTTAGAAAGTTACTCAAGGATGTTTTCTGGTAAAATAAGGTAGTAAATGAAGAGATATTCGTGTGACTCATGACACAGTGGCTCCAATCAAAAAAGCAGTGAAGTTCCAGCATCATAACTGTGCAGCAAATCTAAAGACAACTGGTTAAGACTGGAAGAAGAAAATAGACTGAACTAGAATGGAGAGCTCCAGGAAGGTGTAAAAAATAATTTTTATGACACACTCTATAAATTAGCTTGTATGATAAAGCATTTGAAACAATTGAGGATATCAAGAGTCAAAGAAAGAAGAAAAGAGAAGGAAGAAAAGAGGGAAGGGAGAGACAGAACGAGGGAATAGAGACTCAAGGAATAGGGTAGGACATGAAAAGAAGCTATGTCATAAGAGAAATATAATAATAAAATAATATTTTGTTCTTCAACAAAGAATATTTCTTAGTCATAATGTTGTAAATACGCATAACTGATTCAACTAAAAATAGTAAGATAACTATTTTGGAAGGAGGGAGAGGAAAAGGGAGAGAGAACGTAAGAGAGTTAGTCTCATCTCTATCCTAAGAGCAAGTCAATGGATAATGCTTCAAATTGATGAATCAAGCAATATAAATAGAGTATTTGGAGATATGGAAGTAACTACCAGAAGAGGCAGGTGAAAAATAAATGTGGTTACCCATGGGGAGCAAGGCTAGAGGATGAAGAAGGATGGGGGAGAGTCAAGCAGAGGACTGTTGTTCTTCCTTAGTCTTTTGGAACAATTCACAGGTGAAAAATAAATGTGGTTACCCATGGGGAGCAAGGCTAGAGGATGCAGAAGGATGGGGGAGAGTCAAGCAGAGGACTGTTGTTCTTCCTTAGTCTTTTGGAACAATTCCATATTTTTAACCAGAAGCATTTACTACTTTCATTTAAATACTTTTAACTATCAAAAAATGTAATTATTTCCATTATATTCCACAAGGCAGGTTTTGTCTATAAGGGTAAGAGAGTCGCTTATGAATAAAGGTCGGAAACACCTCTGGGTCTACATGTAGAAAGGAAGGAGTTTCCACTGCAGCTCTGTGGCAGGGAGGGGAGGAAGTGGCAGGGATCTAGAAGCACAAAGGACACCCGGGGAACCTTGAAAGATGGCTCTCTCAGCTAGGGAAGGGGGTTGTTGTAATGAGCTAGGAGACAAGTGGGAACAGGCCAGACTTCCTCATCTCACAGGGATCCTAAAAGTTGCCAACCACTGCTGTTAGTGAGGTTTAACTTCTACTTAAGGTTATCAAAATCTAAAAACCAAACCTAGACACAATCCTTTTTTGAAAACATTTTTGGTAATTTGGTCAGTCCCCTGTGCATCCTTATGTAAACAAAGACTTCCCATCTGTCAGCTCTAATAATGATAAATAGCTAATGTTAGTTTAGAAGTATTTGCGTACATTGAAAACTTTAGGGTTACCAAACACTTTCCTATACTTTATTTCATTTGATTCGCAAAACAACCCTAGGATATAGATAATGCAAAGTATTACTGCATTCACCCATATTTTATAGACAAGATATCTGTGTTTCACAAAGTGACTTGCATAACCTGCATACCTGGTTAAGTAGGAAGGACTTTAGAATTTAACTACACCCCTTTCTTCCAAATTTTACACTCAGTACTCAACACCACATGCCTAAACTACAGGCCAGCCTGTTAGTCTTTTAGTGTTAACTGACACCAAGAGAACTGTCCCACACAGGGATTCCATGAGCTACCATACAAATTGTTCTCAGCACAAAGGGAGCCATCCAGGTACTGGATGGGAGCTGAGATATGGTCCTACCACTTCCTACCAACCTTACACCCTAGTTCAGGTGAATCTTTTTTATAATTTGAACATAGGTACCCATTATGTATTGGGGATGCCTTGTCAACACACACAGATTCACAAGTTTACCACCTACCTACCTCCTTTCTCATCTCCCTCTAACACCCCCAACCCCTACATCAGCTATCAAATGAGAATCTTTTTGGCTTCTGTCTCAGAACTGAAGACACATCAGATATATTCGTTCATCAAAATAAACATGAGATAACTTTATGTCAGCTGCTATTCTAGCCACTGGAAATGTAGTGGTTAACAGAAAAAACAAAGCCCCCAATTTCATGGAGCTTATATTCCAGACAAGAGAAAGACAGACAAACACACTAGAGCACAGAAAAACATCAGAAGTGACAAGTGTTATATAGGGAGTTCAAACTAGGTGATGTAATAGTGACTGAGTAGCTGCATTAAATTGGGAGATCAGAAAAGGCCTCCCCCGGAGGTAATATTTAAGTAGATATTTGAATGATGAGAGAGGAAACACCAAGGGAAGATCAAGGAAAAGAGGATTCCAAGGAGATGGAACAACCAACTCAGAACCCTGGGGGCAGAAACAAGCTTGATCTGTCGATGGAACAGAACCGAGTCAGTGAGGCTGTGCTGTGTCAGGGGTAAAGTGGTTGGCAGGAGGAAACTGGAGAGGTAGGCAGGGGTCAGATGGCAGCATAACACGTGCGCCAAGTGGAGAGTTTAGATTTTATTCTAAGTGCAGTGGGAAAAAAATTTTAAGAAGGGGAATGACAGGATCTGATTTATCTCTATCAAAAGATCATTTTTGGATACTGCATGGAGAATGGAATTTAACAGGAAAATGGAAGACCCCAGCCACCCAAAGAAGACTAGATGTCTAGTCTAGATGGCTGGATGTAGAACATCTTGTGCTCATGAA